TAAAGACAACTGTTTTCTCTAGGTGTAGAAATCCTACTAAATCAGCACATGTTGCTGAAGTTCCTGAAAAAAATCATCAATTGTGGTACAGTTTAATTATACATGCATTTTTTAACTAAAGCTGACAGTCTAGAAAACTATGGCCTACATTAAGCATTAAGACTCCTAATGTTCTTTACAGAATAATTTCTGTAGGAAGGTTTCCTCTGTGAAGCATCAGCACAAAGCAGCAGAAGAGCCCCAGCTGAGGGAGGAAAACTTTCACTCAGAGTCAAATGCTCTTAGCTCACATCCTCAAAATAACTTCTTAACATCAAGTTTTGGAAAGTTGAACATAGATAACAAAAATACAAGAAAATATACAAATGTAAACCTCAAAGAAATAAAATAACACATTTGACTTATTAGGCTTCCTGTTTGCCACCCTTACTCACAATTCACAATGACAACCAGGTGGGTCAGGTGAAACCCACAAGTATCTGATCAGAAATTTTACCAGCACTGTTCCACTGCAGGGTATCAGGGACAGTTTTGTACAGGGTCAGATAGCTCAGCATCGATTAATTCATTCAAATAAGCTGATCTGAGAGATACAGGACAATGGAAGGGAATGTCAGGAGTCTCATTTGCAATTAAAAGGTGTGTTTGCAATACTTGTTTTATTTACCTTTTTAAGCTCTTGCTTTTCAGTTTCCTCTTCTATCAGTTGTTCCCCAGCATCCTGCTGGGGCTCAGCCTCCTCCTTCACAACCTGTTCTTCAACAGTTTGCACAGCAGCAACCAAAACCACATCTGGCTGCTCAGAATTAACAGGGGTTGCACTTCTCCCACTCTCTTCCATCTCAGCCTCCTCAGCATGCAGCACAGGAGCATCATTCAAGTTCTCAGATTTATTTTTCAGGGCGTCAACCGTTTCTGCCTTTGGCACAGAAGGACTGACAGCGACAGACGCCGAAGCAGAAGCCCTGCCTGATAACTCATCATCTGAATTTATTTCACTGACACTCCTGCTGTCCAAGGACTGCACACTGAATGAATCAATTCTTTCAAAGGCATCCGAGGAGCCACAGCTCTCAGTCATTTTCTGGAAGTCATCTAAGCGATGATAATCGGCGCAGGCAGACGTGGACAGGAGCTGGAACGACGTCTGCATGAGGTGAAGGCTGGATTTGGAATCTGCAGCTTCTTGTCTGGAGCTTACTGAGCTCTCACTTATCACACTCTCATGGTCCAGAACTTCAATATCACTGGTTGTGGAAGTGCCTGAGGAGAAGGTGCTGATGGGAGGTGATGGGGTATTGCTTTGTCTGTCCTCAGTTTTTCTCTCCTTCCCTTCCAAGCCCAGGTCTTTCGTGCCTGCTCCAAGGGGCTGAGCAGTGCCCTCGGGTGCACCTGCTGCTCCATCCCCTCCCACACTGGATTTTTCAGTAGGAGAATCTTCAGGTTCTTCAAAATTTAGAGCAGACACCTTTTTGTCAGTAGCTTCATTTGTGCTTGCTTCATGCTGGCCATCAGACTGAAGCACAGCATTCTCTTCTAATTTCTCCTTGGGAATATCAAGGCTTTTCAAGTCCAGGACAGCTCCAGAGGAATCCTTGACCTCTGTCTCTGCTGCCACTGGCCCTTCCAGCTGACTGGAGTGCTGGGACTCCTTTAAAGTGCTTTTCACCTCCTCTTTGGGTCGCTGTGATTTGGCTGGAGGTTTGGACACCACTGGGTTTTTCTGTATACTCTGAACGTCTGTTGGGGAGAGAAAGGCACTGAAGAAGTTTTCAGATTCATCCACAACCGTCCTCCTCACGGGCTTTGTGATGGCTGTGGGTGACACTGGCTGGTTCTGGGGTTCTGTAGTTGAGTTCAAGCCCCAGGATGATGTGTCCCATCCTCCACTTATGAGAGAATTTGTTCCTAAAAAAAAGGAAAAAAGGGAGATAGGCAAATAAACCCCACTTTGAAGGCTACAAGCAAAAGCAAAAATTCCTGCTTCCCTACAGTGAAAGCAGTCCAGGCAAAACAACATGAAAAGCTGTAGTTAAGAGAATTATACTGATTAAAAAGGAGGAAAAAAATTACAAGGTCTTAAAAGTTATCTGCAAATAGCACATAAACACACCCTTAGAGAAAACAGAGGGGGAAAGCTTTAAGTATTTGCAGAATTTTCACTGTAAGAAGGGTTCCTGCCCTTCACTTTCTGACAAGATTTCATTTTTCCTCACACACCAAGCATCAGCATGGAGCTGACAAGAAAAATCAGCAGCAGCCCAGCTGAAAATTTTCTTTCTCTGTAGAGAAATACTAAATTGTTCAGTTCTGAAGCTGCCCTAAAACCACATCAACAATTCCAATTATTGTATTTCTTGCAGGATTTCCAGGACTTGTCAACAGCAAGAACAAGAATTTCAGCATCAAATTTCAGTAGCATCTGAAGTAAGAAAGAGAAGTCAAAAAACAGTATCCAATTTTGTACCTAAAATATAATCTGGGGAACATAACTATTTCAGGCTACTTAAAAACAAACTCACTCCATACAGCAGCATCTATTAAAAACACTGAGTTACAATATTTAAAGCTGCCTTCTACTTTCAGAACAGTTGATAGCTGTTGGCCTCAAATCCAGATAATTACTGTTTTCATTGCCCAAAATACTACAAACATGTGATTTATTACTACAAACATCTCACTTATTGCTACCTTGTCCATGATTCAACAGCTTCAGAAAAAGCTGATTTAATTGTAACATTCAGAACATATTTTGACATCTCTTAAGAACAAGAAGGTTTTCCCTCAAAACCAGATGCAGGCTGATCTTTGCTGCTCTTCTTAAGAATTACAGAACTACCATAAATACTAAGACAGAAATAAAATTTTTAAAATTTGGACAAGTCTAAAGCTTTGAGAAATTAAGCAGGACAGAGTTTTCTTTAAATGATTTCTGCATTTTAAGATGACACCAGACCACTTATATGATTGCCAAGACCTCAAAGGGATAAAGACATCCAAGACTGACCTTTGCTGAGCAACTGACTGGGAAAACATTTTCAGTTGCTACAGCTTTCAGTTTCAGAAATCTCACTCTGCTGTGGCTTCACCTGGATATAACCTCCTCCTCCTCCTCCAAATAGGCACAGTTTTTCTAGATATAGTTGTAGCAATGACACGAATTCCAGATGACTTCATTTCCCATATGTTGTTTATTATTATATATAATAATAATAATAATAATAATAATAATAATAATAATAATAATAATAATAATAATAATAATAATAATATATTCTGGGGGGAGTTTCTAAATACAAGGGCTCCTTTTCGCTCTCTCCCTTCCAAACAGCAGCTTAGGGCTGACCATTCCTTCAGGCTCTCCATTAGCATGTGCACAAGTGAGACACTTCCTCATAGCCATGACAACTTTTCCACCAGCACATTCCTTTCGACAGATGTTGGAGGATTATGAATTGGAAGCCACGAAAAGTGGAAATTTCATTTGGTTCACATGGACCACACTTTCAGCTTCTCCTCTGCCCTCCCTGTGGCAGAGAGCGAATCCAAGCAAGCCTCTGAAAAGATCATGATTTCCCCTTTTATATTACTGAGTTTTTACCAATTATTAGCCCCTCAGAAAACAAACAGAAACAAATAACGCCTCGAGAAGCAGGGATATGAAGCTCAGTGCTACCTATGGGATAAAAGCAGGACACTGGTGACACCAGCCAGGCTCTGAGCTGAGCCTGCCCCTGCTTCGTGTCGGTGTCCCCCGGCAGGGGAGGGAGCAGAACGTGGATAATTAAACCACAGGGGGCTCTGAATTATAAAACCCGGGGCGGCTTTGGGAGGAGGGCCGGTTAAACCTCCCCAGGGTAAGGGGGAGACAGCGGAGGAGGCGGGCGAGGCTGGGGCCCGAGGCTCGGCACGGC